TTCACGATTTCCGACTGACGTCATGCAATGTATTGGTCTCATTCCATGAGAATGGGCCCGAATTTCTACAGGTATTGATCTACCTCCTGTGGCATGATTCTCAGTTCAGAAATGTAATTTCAGTTTTCAGTATCATACTTTATATGAGTAGTTATGAGCAAAGAACAGCTTCTCAGAACTTCCTCTCTCTTCTCTTGTATCACTATTTGGATTTAAGGGAACTTGAGTGTATCGAGAAAATTTCTCTTAGTTCCAATTCCACTGCTTTGAATTAGGAAATATTTGGTCCAGTGTGGTGTTCAGACTCATTCCTCTTAATAAAGGGTTCTCATCTAATTAGGCCGTTTGTTCTCGCAAGTTCAAGCATTCCAAACAGTATAACACTTTTGCATGAGGTGCATAGTACATAGCTTAGGTTTTCATAATTCTATATTGAAAAATAGTGTGGTTGAAATTTGCTCATTTTAGATTTCCACTGCCTCACGAAAGGACTAAAATGTATTCAAAGAAACGGCTGATTGACCTTCAAAGGTTGAACTTGAGGCATGCAGCAGGTTGAATAAGTATTTTGTAATGTCACCGTGCCAAAAATTCAAGAGAACAAGTTAAGCAACAACATGAGTGGATATTATTGCAAAAACTTGCGTGGTAATACCATATTCATTTCAGTGGCAGAGCCTCAAAATGTTATGCATTGGGTGCAGGAGATCTGAAAAAGTTCACAGTATCACACGAGTTCATTCAGTGGCTGTAGGCAATGCAATTTTGCAAATGAACAGAATCATCATTCTAACGATTGTGTCAGAATATAATGCAGAAACTGAACTCTGAATTTTATGCGATTGCATCCGTTCGATGAGGTGTGGCACCCTGGCGTTCCAAAGGTAACTGATCTTCTCCTAACCACAAGGAACCGCCACGTTTTCGTATCTCAATCAGGCGTCGAAGGAGCCACGTCGGTCGACGACATCGTTGACGTTCGCTCCAAGTAGAGGCGCCATTGTCAATCCACGAGGCCACCTGACCCGCATCCACCAAACGACTGGATCGGGAACAAAACAGTTCCTCAGCATTTGGGCATGGAACAATCTCGAACACCTGATTCGGTGAATCACAGTAGGTTTTTTTCAACTGACAACGATCGGTGAACCGACGTAGATTTGATGTACATATCGGACCGGACAAATAGTCGGTCAGTTCACACTGAGGATGACAGTGGCATGACGGTTGTCCGGAAACCAAACGGCAAAAGTAACCTTCCGGACAGTAGTAACCTTCACAAGTAGGTTTTTGTACTGAGCACAGAGAAGTCGGGGTGAACGAGAAGGAGAGCGCGAACTGGGGTAATAAATTTATCGTGAGATACAAAAAGAAGTGAACGATTATGTTTGACTCGATAGTGGATTTCAGTTTGTGTTTGGTTGCTTCACTCAGTTCTTAGTTCACAGAGTTTATCGGGGACATTTTTCGTGTTATTGTAATTTCACAAACTGATAACATTTATCTCAAGAGAGAAAAATCGCCCTTTGACTTCAAACTGGTTACTGATTACCTCTAAGCGAGACACAGTACAATTTAAGTGAATACGATCTAGGATGATGGCGTAGCTGACAGATATCAATACAAAATAGGCATGAGGCGGCTCGAACGAACATCCGAAGGTGCCAGTTCGTTCTACACATTATCTTTACAACTCTTTCTAGATGAGTGGAGACTGAGTTAGCTGCTTCGAGCACCTAAGATACACATCGTTCATGTGTGATCGGGAGTTCCGTTTGTTACTGCGCGGGTTTCGCTGACCACATAGATTGCGATCAAAGCTTAACAACAAAGACCAGCATTGGCATGACGTCATCACCGCCACTACCACCACCGGTAATGAGCAAGCATATGGAATCAATGGACCGATTATTGCTAACCTATCGCATGCAAAAATGCTTTGTAACAAACTAATTTGGCAAATGCTGGTAGACACGTAAGGCAACCCAATGTTTCTATACCATAAAACAGCAGCCCAGCTCAGGCAACACATAAAACCATTCATTGGTTATCCCGATTTGTGATAATTATTGATCGCTGCTTATTTAACTTATCATCTATTTGATTGTGCTAGGTTCAGGGGTGAGAAACAAAGGTTATGCAAGATTTGAACCATGAGTTTATCCTCCCAACGCAACGTAACAGTTTGGTGAGTGCGATAAAGTTTCTTTTTCGGAATAATGACCGGATCCATTAGTAAATATACGCGTTCACTTCGCGGAGTGTCTAACAATCGAGATGAACTATCAGCACGTTCTTTCTCTTTTCTTTCTGCTGCGTTGTGTTTTTCGGCCCCTTTCCACGGGCTCTGTTCAGTCAACCAATCTTATGTCGCCAACAATCTCGTGCGACTGGTTACGGCGAAGAAAGAGAAAATTTAACTGGTTCAGCTCATTTCAATAGCATGTATATGTGACGGATGAGTGGAACAAGATACTAAGGGATACTAGCGATTTGTCAGGGCGCAAGGGAGTGAGGCTCAGGCTCATAAAGTGTACCGAGAGCAATTCCTCGAGTAATATGTATGGGAGGTGGGTTCTTGTAAAGCAAAAAATAATTGGGTGCTTGAAATTCGGACAAGTAAGATATATTCTGAAGTGCTAAACTAGATGCAATAGGCGAAGAACATCGTTTGATTCGTACAGGTGGAAGTGGATTCGTTCAAGCTCTCGGCTATCTGTAAATGGCACTCTTTCTAATAATGACATGCAAAGAAAGTGATACAAAATATGGCTTATGGATTCTTACAGCCGCCTCCCTCTTGCAAAGGACAGTCGAACAGTGAGCCGTGAAGATTTCTCCTTGTCTGTGACAGAACAAGAGGCGATTGCCAATTGTTCACCCGTTGAACTTCATCAGAGAAACTGGATATATGAAATGGAACTGAACATTTTCAATCCACACGAATTCTCAAATAACCGTGAACGGGAAGCATAGTTCTTCCTGTGTGGGTCATACAGTTTTTCAAGCCTCTCTACTTGATTCCCACATTTGAATTTAATATGACGCTTTGGTACACTGGTCGATAAAGAGCAGAGTAAAACTGTCATACCAAACACAAAATGCAACACAAACCAGATTCTTGATGAACTACTCTAGTTTTCTTGTGTCGTGATAGCTAACAAATATAATGTTTACAATAACCTCATCTGAATAAAACCTCGTATTCCGGTGAATGTGGATAGATAGATAGATAGATAAGAAAAACACTCCTGGGTACTGTCCAGCTTGCTAAAACTTGTTCTCAAGCCACTTATCAGTGGATGCTTATGCAAAAATAAGCGAATATTTTCCCTTCTGATGTATCACAAACCTGGTCGAGAAGAAATTGAACAGTGATCGTGTTACTTCAAGAACCACATGCGGGGACAGGAAAGAATTCACAGTGACGTCCCTATGGTTCTCAAACTTGGTTTTAACTGATAAAGCGTTCTGAATTCTTACGAAAACCTGTCGGAACAGGATGCTTACATGTCAACTGGTGGAGATCGTGTGATTCAGTAAGCTGACCGAAATGGTCAGATGTGAGAAGATCAGAATCGCCTACATGGCCTGATAGTTCCGCTGACGAAATGCCTGATGCAATTAGATGCAAACGGCGTCTGTGCGTGGTTTCCGTTCCTTAGCCTAGGAAAAAGTTTCGAGGATCAATGCGCTGCCACCATAAAAAGATCACTTCTTACATGGGAATATTCGTAGTTCTATTTGCTTCATCCATTGGCCGTACTGAAATGTTTCGAAGAGAAATAGCCTTTAAAAACTGATCGGTGCATGGGGAATCGAAATATAATATATATATATCCAAAGAAAAAAGGGTTGCGAATTCCGCTTGTGATAGATATTCAGCTGGGCATCTTGAGACACAGACAGACAGACAGACAGACAGACAGACAGACAGACAGACAGACAGACAGACAAACAGACAAACAGACCGACAGACAGACAGACAGACAGTATTTGCATCAAGATGCTAACTGAACGGTCAAGGGAACACAATCAGAAACCGTGATTGCGGTTGTTGCTAATACGGTTCTTTCTTTTCTCTTTTTTTCTTTTTCACTTTACATCCTTTTATTGAATATACAAAGATACAACAATTTTTCATGAAGGGAGAAACGGGCCATCAGAGGGCTGCCATTCAACACACAAAGGGAAAAGTCAGGCGGTGGTGGTGGCGTTCGAACACAGAACCCCGGGGTGATAAGTTGGTGACGTTACCACTGGACCACCACCGCCCAGGTGCTGTTGGTGATATTAATCGAGTGAACCAGGTTGCTACGACTGATCTACTCCACTTGTAAGGCCCGAGGTTTGAACTGTTTCACCTGCATACATCACATTTGTGTCACGCAAGTCTCATGTGGATAAATGAATTTCCTCATCATTTGTTCGCGTGCCACTTTTCGTGGACAAAATGTCCCCTCCAGGAACCGATCTTGACGTTCGTGCAACGGGTTCAAGATTTTTTTGATGCAACGTCACTCAACACTCATTTGCAATTTGAGATATTTTTCTCAAGAGTAGATACTTGCTCTATATCGAACTGATTGATTTCTTAGTGCAACACACGTGCATTCTAATGTTGTTAATAAACGAATTCATTGCATTTCAACTTTTCGGATGTTGACTCACGAAGTTTGAAATGCCGTTTGCACTTCACTCTTCAAATCGCTTATCCGATGACCCGTCTCAGTATAAAATGAATTCAAATAAATTAATTTGCGAGATATTTTCCGTCGTGAACGATGTGTGTGTACAAGAAATGCAACAAAGATGTCGGAGCAGTCAGCTTACACGCTAACTGGTGGATGCCATTTGCCTCTGTAAGTTTTCGAATGTGAAAAGATCAGTTCTATTGGTCTGGTCTCGTCGCTCAGCTGGTAGGACAGGTACTGTACAAAAGTGTAGACAGCGTCTATACGTGGGTTCGAATCCTACCGAGGCTACTGAACTCTTCACGATCTCGACATAAAAACAACTGATCTCCCAATATGCGAGATTGTCCCCCACAGGAACACCAACATTCCGTGCCCGGTGTCTGTAAATGCGACTGAAAACCAAGACGAGAACATCATGGAGAAATTGTTTTAGCTCAGATCAGATGGCAAAGATCAGTGTGTTTGCGCAATCCGACCGGAGGATTGGTTTGAATCAACTAGTTTTTATACCCCAAATCTCAGTGCCTGTGCTTTTAAAACCAAGTTGAACCAGAATGCTCTCGTCAACAGGGTGAAAAAAATGAATAATAAGCAGTCCAGAGTAAGATGGCTTTCATCGTCAGTAAAAACACAAGATACGACCTCGATAACGTCCAGACACATTGATATTGTTTTTCAAATGTTATCTGAATGAGTCCAGTTCAAACCTCGTGGTAGTGTTATAAAATTAAACGTATTGCCTCATCTGCGTGTTGTTCTTTTTGAACAAAACTATTTTTGACTCCTACACCAAGCTCCGAACAATGTAAAGCATGAATCCTTGGTCTCCGACTGTTGCCTTGTCTCTCTCTCTCCCTCGCTCTTGCTCTGTACCTTTTCAACCTGTACACATTTACGGAACCTTTGGCCTGATTTTTCACGATTTGCATCTAGTGTCATGCATAACCACAGTTTCAGGGTCACTTGAAAATCATGAACACTAATCAAGTAGTAATCAACGACTTTGGGCCAATTTATTTAATCACGTGACCGTAGTCAATTTCGAAGGGCATGGGACTTGTGCTAACGCGTAGCAATCGAAACACTGCACGTTCAACCTATCCTTGTTCACGGGGTTATTGGATGTGAAGTTCAACCAGCCCTGTACAGAGTTTTCAAAGGTTTTCCAGTAGTACTAAATGGGCATGATGATACTGTATGACGAACGGTTTTATCATTACTAATTTATTTGGTGCGTTCGAGCTTCACATGATTTGGTGTATGATGACAGGGGACTCGGAGTCTGGTAGTGGGGACATTCATGGCTTGTATTTTTACCTGCTACCCCACCCGATAGTTCCGCTGCAATGTTGATCCCGGCTGAAAAAAAACAAAATGATATGAAGTTCAGCTCGGTCTTGGAGACAAGTGAATTCACGCCATCCAATATTTTATTAAGGAATACAAACTGAGTAATTTTAGCACACGGTTCACCAATTCGACATATAGGTGACAATATCACGTTTTTTTGGTAAATCCCGTTGAAACCAATGGGCCTATATACCGTTCCATTGCATCTGTGTCAATAAACCTGTTTCATTATGATGAAAACCCGAGACAACATTCCAGTTTTAGATCCTAATCACTTTGACTAAACGATTCACTTCTGTTATGGCTTACAATGGCTTACCCACCAGAGGACCCTACAAAAAACCCTGAAGATACAGGTAGTGTTAAGTCCCACTGCTACCGAACAAGTATTGCATCCCTTGAACCTTCATTGCCCTCCACTAATACACATGCCATGCAGTCGATTGTGCAGAAAAATGAACTTCATAAGATTTTTCAAATAGTTGTTTGGCAGATTTGAAGTTTCTATGTCGATTGTGAAAAGCTGGTAGAGCATGCGCGTACAAAGCGTAGGCGGTGTCCATGCGTGCGTTCGAATCCCACCGCGGGTAGAGCATGCGCGTACAAAGCGTAGGCGGTGTCCATGCGTGGGTTCCAACCCCACCGACTTAGAGCATGCGCGTACAAAGCGTGGGCGGTGTCCATGCGTGCGTTCGAATCCCACCGAGGAGCATGCGCGTACAAAGCGTAGGCGGTGTCCATGCGTGGGTTCCAACCCCACCGAGGCTACTTGCGCGTACAAAGCGTAGGCGGCGTCCATGCGTCGGTTCCAATCCCACCGAGGCTACTGATGATTGGAATGTGAAAAGATCAGTGCTATCGGTGTGGCCTCGTAGCTCAGCTGGTAGAGCATGCGCAAAGCGTAGGCGGTGTCCATGCGTGGGTTCGAACCCCACCGAGGCTACTGAACTTTTCATAAGATTTCCCAGTCACAAACTCAAAAGGTCTTGGTTGTACGTTTGGTCAGCCGACAACTCACAACAAAGTCGAATCGGACAAACCAGTCGGTGGAAAACCGAAAAAGTGCCGAGAACGTGTGCAATATTTATTCAAGTGACAGTGACGGTCGTATTTCACGTTCCATGGTGCATAAAAATGCCTATCAAAAGTCTCCCCAGGAAGGCACTCAACATTTGCCACTTGGTTCGATTCCTGGCACCGAAATATGTGCAAAACAAAATGCTTTGTTTCCGTTTATAGAGACCAAGAAAGCAGAGGAAACCCACGATGTGTGCCCGTGTCCAGATTTACATATTCCTGCCGCCAATTCGCGCAGCTTTCATCAGACAGGGAGGATTCATCCGATTAAACAGAAGAGGGGTGAGTATGGATTCATTTCACCCTGGAAAAATGAAAAAACGAGTCCACCGAGAGTGATCAAAAAATGGGTTTCTGAGTTGCTTCTCAGAATTCTTCCACCCAAACCGTTCCCGTCTCAATTTAAAAATGAATATTGGAGAGATCATTCCGGGACTGCACTTCGGAGGTTAGGAAAAATGCAACATTCTTCTATTCGGATCCGGAAGATATTGTTTTACCTATGCAAGTCATCACTGTTTTATGATTTACTGTTCCTTTGTTTCTTGAAATACTTATTTCCAACTAATTCCTGGAAGGAGAGGTGATGTTATGGCTTACAACTGACTGATTTGTGTTCATACATACTTGTGGTCAAATTGATTGATGGATCGATCGGTTGATAGTCGGTTGGTAGTTTGAATTCTGGCTTGACGGCATTCGCAAGTACTGCGACAGGTGTGCCGGACTCTGTCTGCCTGCCTGCCTTCCTA